GTCAACCAATGCGCCCACTCCTTTTGACTGGCTGATAGTTGTTATTTCGTTGCGTTCACAATGGATGAACACGGGCTTGCTTGACGTTAAGCCGCGTTCACAACTTGCAATAATATACAGTCCTCATCATTGCGGACTGTCGGAGGGCGGCTGTGCAACGCGGTCCAAATGGGCGTTCGGCCTCGTTGCTCTACCAATGGCGATCGGGTAAAGATCGATTTAGGGAGGGAGCAACCAATGATGGAAACGCCGCAGGTGCGAGCCGCTGATTGCGACCCGACAATTGCGGTGATGTAAGGTGTAGAATCGGCGAGGACGCTGGAAAGAAAATGCAAAGTTCACATCTGGGTGCAACAACGTACATCACTACGACTGGCTCTTGCCCAGACGAGACTTACATCTGGCAGAGGAAAGTCGGGGAAGGAATGAGCAGACGTCGACAAGCGCACTTGGGAAAACTTCTTGTTGTTAATACAGTCCACATTTCAGCACTGAAGAAGCCTTGTCCGCATTTTCTTTTGTGATTGCGGCGACGGCTAAAAATGTTACCGGTGTAAAGTAATACGGTGGGGCAGAGACGCACACCGCGTGTGTATGAGAGAGCGCAGGCGGCACAAGAAAAGGTCGATACCCTACCTCCGAGCATAACAATCATCCTAAAGCGACATCATCGACATCGTCCCACAGATATGAGGAAAGATCGAGAGGGAGACTCACTCCACACGTCCACTTTGGGCGGAACGACGGACGACAAGCCAGGTAGCACCGCAGGATCAGTGGGATCGCCGCCTGAGCATACTCACTGCTCTCGATATGCTTTAAGGCGGCGACCCTGCTGTTGCTAAACTTTTCTTCCAGTAGGGTTAAACGTGTGAATAGGAACTTTTATTTTAAACACAAGAAAATCAGTGTGATTGGGCTGACCAGACTGGGCCACAAACCGACTGACGATGCCAGATAGCGGATAGAGACGTGAATGTGTGAGAGTGGGTGTGCCTGTCGACCATCCCCGCTGCTGGAGGGAGGATGCTTGGTAACAGAACGCTACTTAATGAAGGTCTCTGGTATGACGCTCCCCCCCCGCCACCGACGCTTTTGCCGCTCCTAATGACAACGATGAGTAACCTGGCGCCCAGATACGGTTCGCCACCTGTGCTCACACTCAGAGCAGTTAGCCCTCGATAATTGAATTGCGACCATCACACGCCAAACGGAATGCTCTAATGTCTAGTTCGCTGCAAACGAAGGGGCGTGTCAGGCGGGATGCGTCTGGTGCGGTGTCAAACCCGTTCTCCTCCAGTTGAAGCGAATTTGAAAAGTTTCAAACGTTTAAATTTCCAGAAGAAATACGTACTGGTATGTACAGAAAATTATTTAACTCTGAACAAATGATAACTGGTAAAGAAGATGCTGCGAACAATTTTGCCAGAGGATTCTACACAGTTGGAAAGGCTGGTGTCGCTGAATCGTAGACTGCCCTCTAGACTTTGCTGCATAGAAGAAAGCGTTCCTCTTTCAGGAGAACATTAACAAAGCACTGAAGAGCATTCGACGTCTCGTGGAAAACTCCGATAGCCTGCAAGGTTTTCTGATTTTCCATTCACTCGGCGGCGGTACCGGATCCGGCTATGAAGCGCTACTCATGGAACATCTCTGCCGTGACTATGGAAAAACGAATAAACTGGAGTTTTCCATTTATCCGGCTCCCATGGTAGGCCAATTTGGCAAATGGGATTTCCTATCTCTACGCTATGTGCTTCGGAGGGGTCATTCTGCAGCATTGCCTCGCCACGACATGTACTGACGCAATCAGGCCACGTCATTCAGTCCAGATGGAAAGGTGCTGTGAGCAGGGCACATCATACGTTGTGCATCACAACGAGAGGGGTCGTATGTGAGAGGTGCGCATCAGGCGTCTAAAAATGTTTCCAGTTGTTCAATATTCGCGCTTCACGCGCATTCTACTCCCACCCCCTTCCCTCCCAGTAAGCTGCGCCTCAGACCTACTTTCTGATTATTTTGGTTTACATCCCCTCCTTCCTTCCCCATTCGATGGGAAATTCTGATCCACTTTGGCAAACTTCGATCGGTCGTGTAAGAGGTCGTATCGTAGGAGAAAATTTCGGTGGGGGGAGGAGGGTGGGGTGCCGTGTTTAGTATTTAGCAAAACATTCTCCCTGCCACGACGTGTCCTGGTTGTGAACTGTGACAGTTCCGACGATTACTAGGCCATGTTAGAAGACCTCACGCCGTCTCGGAGAGAGAATTCAGACGAGGCGACATGACATGGCTCAGCCCCTCCCAAGGCATAACTCCTATCTCTTATTTCATGGTTTCCTTTGACCACCCTTTATTTAGACTTCGACTGCTATGGTGGAGCCATACAACGCCATCTTATCCACACATAACACACTCACGAATTCTGACTGTAGTTTCCTAATGGATAACGATGCGATAAATGACATCTGCCGAATAAGATTGAACAAGAAAGCTCCAAATTACAGTAATTTGAATAGAATAGTAGCGCAGGTAGGTTGGAACTGTTCCCCCCAAGGGAGCTGTGCTCTGCGTTTCCGGCTGGCTTCTACTTACCCATTCAGGTAGCCTCTTCTATAACCGCTTCAATACGCTTTAGCGGTGAACTGAATGTGGATCTCAGCGAATTTTCTACGAACCTCGTTCCTTTTCCGCGTATCCACTTCCCTGTAGTGGCTTCAAGCCCTCTACTTGCAGAAGAGAAGGTGAGAAATTTCTGGATGGACTCAGAATGGGCCCTCGGTAATGTCTCCTCTATATTCTTGCGAGGCGATGACAGTGAGCGGATGTTATTTCTATTCTCTATGGTGCTGTTTGGACCGTCAGCAAATGGTGAAATGGAGCCTGCGGGTCAATTGGCAAAAATATGTTACATTGTGTTTTGGACTAATTATGAGTGCCGTCTCAAGGGCAGACAAGCTTTTGTAGATAGGGTGTAGACCGGCCTGTTGTGTCCATTTTAAAGTCTATTTTGGGCATCTAATCCCCCAAGACGACTAGGATCAATACTCCTGGCAGGATAGAATTCCGCGACCCTGGGCAGGCGCTGCATAGCGGTTTCCCCGAGGAAGGTGCCCTTATAAGGGCCCTATCAAGCCACAACTTTACGTCCCAAACGCCCGCCACGCCCGCCCGCCCACAAATGGACGACCGTTCCTGACGCTCTAATCGATTCATTTGCTAAGCAAATTATGAAGCGAAGGGATTGGTATGAAGCGGCCGTGATGCTGCATGCATACATGGGTACACATATGCAGCCGTATCTTCGGTAGCGGTGAT